TCCATGCTTCCGGTATCATACACTTTAACATTGCCTATCGATTATGGGAACATTACTGTATTTCTCTCGTACAATCAATTTTATGTTGTTATGAAATAACATACATACATAATATTTTATTATATAAATCAAAATATATTATAATCTATATCAAACTATTTTTATAGGACATTGAATTATTTGTTTAATTCGATTACAATTTGAATTAATTAAATTAATTTAATTTAATGCCTTTTAAAAAATGCCGTTTAACATAAGTATTATAGTTATATTTTGATAATAAAGGTACTAAATTATTTTAATTGAATAAGTGAGTGCTAAAGTATCAGACCAGACAAAATATACAGTCAACGTAATATTACAAATGCTTTAATTCTTTTATTAATCAATCAAGTGCTTCGAAACATTTGTAGTGAGACTTTGACCTCACCCAAAATTGAGTAATTTAATTTCCCGATTTTCCGATAGACTATGACAAACATATATCACGCAAATCGCATACTATAATAAATATTTTATGAAATATCACTCACTGTCAGTATGTGAGTGACGATCTATCACCCTAATGTTTTCTTTACAGTCCTGAATTTGCAATCGGCACGCGGCTGTATTTGAATAACAATTGCGCATTTCATTTCACATCTACTTTCGCTGTGACCATGAAAGCTCATCTCCGCCATTTAAACGCAATCGCGAATTTGTATATATATATATATATATATACGTAAAATGAAATTATTTACATTAAGCGTTAGATTAGAACGCTGAAAATGCTTACAATATATCACCTGAACTTGCGTTCTCCGCATATCTTTCCAAATCTTGACATTTGAGAGACACGTTCGAGCGTCCTATTTCCAATGACTCGCGTTGTATATGAAAAAGAAAAAAAAGAGACGAACTGGTGATAATATCGAAATAATTACGTACGAATGTATACAGGGTGGTCATTGTGACTACGACTATGGGAGGTCGCGCGGCAAGGTCCTGCAATCGATAAACGACGTCGAACTGTATTGTAAATGTGCGTATGTCCACTGTACCCATCGTATCGATCGTTTATATGTGTGTATGATTATAATATTGAGGAAGACACCAACGAGGGCGACATGAGTCTTTTTTTCTAGTGAACCGAGCGATTTTTGCGGTCGTCAAGACTTATAGAAATCATTCAAACACTTCCAACGTGCGCGACCGTATTCACATGTGACACGACAATTACTTATAAAACAACAAGCACCAAGTTACCTCGCATGTGAGTCGCATATGTGTACATACAATGAGAAATGTTATTCTGAATTCTTATAATCCCTTAGACGATCACGAAAGACCGTTTAAAGCAAATCAAATTGAATTAAGAAGAAGGTATAATTGGTACCTGCTCTCACTCTTAAAGATTGAGCCACTCTTTTTTAAGATTAAGTCAATTTTCGTTCTTTTAAAGTGAGATTCTATTTCAATTTAAAGAATACATGAAACATAGAAGCCTGCATTCAGAACGCACTTTTATCGATAAATAAACGCGCTTTTATGTCTAAAGTTTTATAGTATACGTGAGTTATATATGATAAATACGCTCTAACATAAAAACGCGTTCTAAATACGGACCTGAAAGTTTTAATTTTTAGTTTTTAATTATTTTCAGACAGCTAATTATACATCGTAGGTGCAGCTATACACTGCAAGTGATAAGAAAACTTTTGCTAGATACAATAATTTTGTTTAGACCGTCGAAATAATTATGTATGACACTCAAACTTGTTGCTATAGCAACAATTTATTTTCAGATCTGTATCTGACTAAATTTTTAAATATTTCAGCATAAGTTCCTTACGTATAAAAATATGGAGAGAGAAAGAAAATAAGAAGTACTTTTAATCGGCTCGATGTTTTATGTACATAAAAGCTCGAATGTCTAAGCAAAGATCTTTAATTAAGAACAACTTTTATATAGGGAAATTTTTAATTACATAGAGTTTAAATGGCAACGCAACATACTTTGTATTCAAAGATAATTGCCTTTAATAACGATGAAATGTTATCCTTTTTTTTTTTAAATTTCAACAGGAATAAATAACTATTTATCGGGGATAGATAAAATCAAGAATAAGTCGTCCTTGTAGATGTCTTTTCCGATATTAATCATGTACACATGGCTGATATACGCACTTTTATAATATATAGTTCAATGTCGCTTATCGACTGCAAGGAAAGAAAGAGAGAATAGGAAGTTTTTTTTCAATAATTCTGAATAATTTTTGCTTTCCGCGCACGGGAGTCTAATTTGTACTAATTTGTTATCACGGCAAATGCAAACCGCATTGTCCTTTCGAAGATTGTAATCATCAAAGCAACATTTCGTGTCCAGTTATTCGATATTCGTCCATTCGAGGAAATAGTTTCAGCGTGGAATGACGCAAACACATTGAGTACGAGATTTACAGGATATTTCGTATTCCGTAACGAGAGCTTCTCAAGAATCGCCGTTTGCGACATGTAATCGATCGGACAATCTGATATTTACCAACATCGTTATTTTAAATCATTGAGGAAGGTCTCTCGGAATGCCGCGGCGTTCCAGATGAAAAAGAAATCGCGCCTGAATAATGCGGCCAAACACGCGATCGACTCGCGACTCGATACGGTTCGATTGGTGTCTTATAAATTATAAGGGATGGCCGCCCGATTAGAGGTCAATCGAACGATTGACTGAACATTTCCGTATCGGACATTTACGATTGCGCATTCATGGAACGTCGTTAATTTACGGAATTAGATCGGTGGTCGTGATGTTTAATAATAGAAATACTAGCTATGCACGTGATGATAATAACCGTAGCTGTGCTTGACGTCCTATGTACATTTTTTAACATAAAAGAATGTCCATGAAGAGATCTTTAACTACAGCGACTTTTATATAGGAAGATTTTTAATTATATAGAATTCAAATGACAATACAACTCTGTATTCAAAGATGATTGCTTTTAACAATCAATAATATTATTCACTCGTTTAATTTCAAAGATAATAAATAATCATTTATCGGGTAGATATACAGAAAAAAATTTTTAATTACTTTAATTTCTGCTTTCTTAACATTTTATATAGATAAATTAAATTTTTATTTATATGCGTAAAGTCTGAAACTTATTAATCATTATTGTTCTTTAGAAATTGAATTTATTTCATTAATACATATTAATAATAGATCTCAAAGATAACGTTATTACGTCCTTTCAGGGCTGGCAGCATTGAAAGATTAATAGACGGCGATAAGCGGATAATTGCAACGAAGCATCTACTTCCAGAAAATAATATAAATGTTGTCGTCAGGTATTTAGTTCGATTCATATCGATTGATTTAAAGTGACTTAACGTTATTATCCTCTATATTATTTTCTCTTTTTCTTACAGGGTTCGTCCTCTCAGTAATAAAGAAATTAAATCCGGTGACGAAATGGCCGTGCAGTTTCCTGGCGATGGACAGATATACGTAAGTGTAAAAATTATATTGTCCATAAAATGATCTCCATATACCATAAACCTTTAAGAAATGTCCCAAAGACATTTAGAAATGTCCTCTTACGTCTTAAAGATGTTTAAGAATTACTTTGAATTACTTTGAATAAAGAATGCTATGTGGGGAGTCTATCTTCTCGTTTTGTTCGGCCTGCATCTTTCGATTTCTGAAGTCAAGTCAAGTTTTGCCTACACATTTTTCCATGCCATCATTAACGCGACGTTTCCAATAGTCAAGTTAAACAGAACACGTCAATACGTCTTTTATCTTGCAGTGCGACGCGGTTACGAGCAGCGGTGACAAAAAGCCGAAGGTATTCTCATACAATGTCGTTTTCGAGCCAAATGCTACGCAGGAGGATGTCCTACAGTACTCCGGTATTAAGAACCTCATCGAAATGGCGGTGGAAGGCTTTAGCTGCACCGTGTTTTGTTACGGACAGACCGGAAGTGGCAAAACGCATACCCTGACTGGGCCTCCGAGACTCGTAAGCGAAGAAGTCACCATTTTGTTATAAATCTTTTTTAAAAATTATTTTCAATTGTGTGATTTTTTTTATTTTGTGTTTAGCAATAATGCAAATAAACAACATGACAAATTCTCATCATAACGTAGATCCCATCCTAAATATTAATTTCCATATTGTTTGAATCCTACGAAACGGAAAAAAATTATAAGTGATTCGAGGTGCTTTTTTAATCATATCGCAGCACACACACGTTCGTCCATATAATGCAAAAGACAATGCGATACGTAATATGGTGACGTTAGTGATCAATATCTACATAGCTAGTCAGAAGGTTAAAGTTGATTGTCTTTCGGAGATAAGATAATACGTTCAAGTTACATGTAACGTCTCTTCTTGCAACTAAACGTAACAGTGAAATTTCGATAGGTCATATCTAAATAAAAAGTAACACTTTCAAATGATCAATAAAAAGTACGTTTGAGGAATAAATAGAGAGAACCGTATGTGAAAAATATCTTTCTGAAATATATATTCCGTAATTATGTCTTGTGTAAAAAAATATAGAGAATTCGAAACATATAAGAAAAAAAGAAACAGAGAAAGCTTTATTTTGTTATCCGTTTATTTGAACGTTATAAAAAAATTTATATTAATAAACTAATTCGTATTTATTTGTAATTATTTATTTATTTATTTAGTAATAATGAGAGAATGCTGTAATAATATATTTCAACGAAAATAATTTCTTTAATTTTAAATAACACAATTTAGCTAATATATAGTAATTGCAATTATTTTAATACATTTGATGAAATAAATCATATATTAGAATTTTTATTTATTTAAAAGTTAATCAAGATCTTAAATTTATACATTCAATCATGCTGTGAAATTAAACTAATTCACTTTTACATTGTATCTTTTGAGTTTATAAAGTTAATTTAATCATTTTTTATAACAGTTCGACAAAATGGATCCGTACTCGGAGGACCATGGTCTGGTCTTCCGTTCCTTCGTCTACCTATTCAAAGTCCTTCAAGAACACGAAAAGTGCAATTTTGTGCTGAAGGCTTCCTTCCTGGAAATCTATAACGAGAAGGTCTGTCTTTAAACGATAACGTATCGTCTAAGTAGACAATACAATAAAATAAGCGTCTATTTTTTAATTATTGTAAGGAAAGATAAACTTTTTCTTTCATTTTACACATGTAAAATAAAAAAGCTATAGTTATCGTTGCAAAGAGTAAATTCTGTTATAAAAATGATGGTAATATACAAATAGATGAGTATGAATGAATAAATAAATAAATAAATAGGTGATAGATCTTTTAAATCCCGGAACTTCGAGAAAAACTTTGGCAGTTCGATGGAGTAAAAAGACGCGCGGATTCTTTGTCGAGAATCTCTTTACGGTAGAATGTGAGGAATTGGACGATCTTTTGGCGGTTCTCGAAGAAGGTAAGACTAAAAAATAAGCCATAGAAGTCATAAGATTCCATCCTATAAATTTTCAAATTATTTTTTACTTTCTCTGGCATCATAATTAATAACACGTACAATTATATTTTCTTCTAGATGATATTTATTGTATCTAACAGTTTTTAAGATTCCATTATGCAAAGATTTCGTTATTCTTATTCAGAAATTGGAAATCAATTGGAAATTGTGAAGT